AGACTCCATTGACATAAAAACTAGATTTTTTTAACCATTTAATTGGCCGAGACTGAGAAATGGCCAAGACTGAGAACGTGCAGTCCTAAGTTATCAGGGTTTCACCTGTTGAGAGTTTGGGGAAACAAATATATATATATAATAAAAAATATATATAATATATATATAATATATATATATAATATATTTAATATATATAATATATATATATATTCAATAAAAATATTACTGGCAGATGACTTAGGAACAAGAGACTCCGATGACATAAGAACTAGATTTTTTTTTTTAACCATTCAATTGGCCGAGACTGAGAAATGGCCAAGACTGAGAACGTGCAGTCCTAAGTTATCAGGGTTTCACCTGTTGAGAGTTTGGGGAAACAAATATATATATATACATATATATTTAATAAAAATACTACTGGCAGATGACTTAGGAACAAGAGACTCCATTCACATAAAAACTAGATTTTTTTTTAAACCATTTAATTGGCCGAGACTGAGAAATGGCCAAGACTGAGAACGTGCAGTCCTAAGTTATCAGGGTTTCACCTGTTGAGAGTTTGGGGAAACAAATATATATATATATATTTAATCAAAATACGACTGGCAGATGACTTAGGAACAAGAGACTCCATTGACATAAAAACTAGTTTTTTTTTAACCATTTAATTGGCCGAGACTGAGAAATGGCCAAGACTGAGAACGTGCAGTCCTAAGTTATCAGGGTTTCACCGGTTGAGAGTTTGGGGAAACACATATGTATGTATATATATATATATATTTAATAAAAATACGACTGGCAGATGACTTAGGAACAAGAGACTCCATTGACATAAAAACTAGATTTTTTTTAACCATTTAATTGGCCGAGACTGAGAAATGGCCAAGACTGAGAACGTGCAGTCCTAAGTTATCAGGGTTTCACCTGTTGAGAGTTTGGGGTTAAGAACACACACATATATATATATATTAGCCACTGAGGGTGGAGCTGGATGACTTAGGCAGCTTTAGCGGATTAAAAATTAAGGGGTGGCCTAAGTCATCATGTTTTGATATCTTGGAAAGGGGGTGGTGCACACATGTTTTCCCAGTCTCTTGAAGGTATCTTGTTCCTATCTCTCGCGTTTTTTTTCAGGTGTCTTCCGGGTGTTCGGTGAACTGCGTGTTGTAAAGACTACATGACTTAGGCCACTTTCATATAGTTCTTCTTATGTCATTGGGCCCTCTTGGGCCTAAGTCATCTGCCGGCAGTATATATACATATATATGTATATGTATATGTATGATATTATATATATATAATATTGTGATTGGCATGCAGGTTACAGTCCATCATCAGTTAGCAGTGAATGCTCAATTCATGTGAGGGCCAGCGGAGTCCACAATCACCGCTGGCCGGCTCAAGACGCCCCCTGCGCCCAAGCAAAAGGAGTGTCCGCTGTCGCCATTTAATCGGGAAGAACAATATCGGCACGATGAAGGATACCAAGAATTGACATTGGACCATTGTCCATTCACAGGTTATCAGCCGTACGCTCTGTTGAGCGTACGGTGGTCCCACAAGAACATCTTCTTCGGCATCCCGGTCCTCTTGCCCTTTTACAAGTCATCAACCTGCAATAAACGGAGGTGGACTGCTGGAAAGTGAAGAGATGTCACAACAGAACCAGTCGAGCAGCGATGACACAAGCTTTACCTTTGCAAACGCAGCTCCTGCTCAGGCGATCAACGACACGCCTGGATCTGCAGAGAGCGGGGGCGGCGGTACGGTCTCGCACCGAGGACCTGAAAGTGGAGCGTCTTCAAATAGCTTCATGGTGATCAGCCAAACTGGTTCCCTGCGGGGAAGTGCCAACAAGTCGACGTCGGCAAGGTCTCCACGCTCTACGAGGACCCGTGCTCTGGACAGTGGTGACACTGGTGGCCGAAGCCCGTCGGGCGCGGCCATGCGGGAGGGTGAGGTGAGCAAATCTGCTACCTCATCCAAACGCAAGTCATCTGGCAGTGCTGCGAGGAACGAGAGCGAGGCACGACTTCGACGTCAACTTCAACACAACATCGACAAGCTGGAAAGAAGTGAGCAAGCTAGGACTGAACTGGAAAATAGATTGACTCTGTATCAAGATGCTCTTGCACATCGCGATCAGATGATCAACAATGTAGAGGTCTATTCTCATCAACATCATGAAGAATATCAGGAACATGTCAACTCAGAGATGGAATTCATGAGAAACTCCCTCATCACAGCATACAACTTACTGGACGAACAATCCAATGCTCTGGCCGAGGCACATCTTATGGATGAAGGATCAACCCGGAGAATCTACGAGCTTGGACAACGTGGTGAACTTGCAGAAGCAGGTGCGGCCCACATCGTTCAGGAAAGTATGGCTATGAGGAGACGGTATCACTCTGAGCTGGAGAATGCATCGCAGCTTCTTCGAGAACAACAAGAAATGTCCGAAGCCATGGCGAGTCACTATCGTCAAGATGGGCTACAACTACGTGAAGCATGTGCACGGTACGTCAATGAGAAGGAGACGGCGAACAAGGAGGAGATGGAACTCTTGAAACAGAGATTGGCAGAGAGTTCGCAGATGATGGTTGTCAACAATGAGATGGTCATGGAACATGGTCAACGAGCTGTCGCACTACGAGATGAACGAGTGGGGGAGGTGCAAACAGCCATCAATGAGCTAACAGCAAGCCTGGCAAGGAAGGATGCAATCATTGCCGCCAAGGACAGTGCAACACGTGATCATTTCGCGAAAGTTCGTGACATGGCGAATATGGCTCAAAAGAAGGAGGACGAGCACCTCTGGAAGAACAACGAGTTGCAGGTAGAGATCAACAACCTCATGAAGCTGAATGAAAACGAGATTGCTTCGAAGGAATGGTATGAGAATCGGTTCACGGACGAGAAGGCTGAGTACCGACGGTTTAGATACACTGAACTTCAAGCATTCAAAGACCGGGAGGTCAACATTGAGGCTGTCAAGGACGAACTCATGGATGAGAACATGAAGTTGATCGAGTCGAACAACCAACTACGATCCCGAATGGCCGAGCTCATTGGATCTCGATTCAGCACTGGTGGTGACGAGGCCAATATCAAAGCGATCGGGGAGTTGAATGACGAACTTCACAGAGCGAATCTAGAGATTCATCGACTTCAAGAAGGAATAGAGTGCAACCCCAACTTGACAGAAGCACTTGTCGACGCAGAAGAAGCAGAAGCGGACAGATGGAAAAAGTTGTATCAGACGGCTTGTGCTGAGCGTGATGCGACAATTAGGAAGAACGACTCTCTGAAGTTATCACTCCATGATGCCAAGTGGGCTATGAAGTCTATGCCGGCTTCATGGAACACGGTAGCACCAACTGCTGCCGTACCTGCATCACCATCAGCCTTGCCTCCTACAAGTTTGGCTCCGCAGACGTTGGCATCTACAGCCAAGACACCTTCATTCGCAGTATCGACATCGACACCCAAAGGGACTCCCAAAGCTTCATCATCAAGGAGTCATGGATTTGCACTACCACATCCTCCAAGTGTGAATAGCGCCATTGACATCCATTGACAACGAGATCAACAGCGAAATGGACGATCTTCGTGAGAAGCTTCGTTTATCTGAAGAACGAGCTCAACAGAACTATGACGAGATGAAGGAGTACCAGAGATGGTTGGAACAGGTGGAAGAAGGACAAGAGACGTTGAAGGGAAGCAATGCTCCTGAATATGACCCTGTCCCTGACGATCCGCCTGGACTTTGGGATCGAAAAGATGGCAAAGATGCTAGTGTTGCCAACAGTGACATTGGCCAAGACGGGAAGGATTGGGTTACTCGAATTTCGAGGAAGGAGCATGAGAAAGTCATCGTCAAGCCATGGCCTAAATGTGAAGATCTTGATGTGTGGCGATCAAACGTCGTGCAAGCTGTATGCGTTGCATCGGGAGATCCTGACACTGATGCATGGAGAAGATGGCTGCCAACTACCTGATCCTGATTATGCTGAACTCGCTGAGTCAGGTGATTTTCGTTTCCAATCCATCGACTCCAAGCTGTCCATCGCTTTACAGAACATGGTGGATGCCGCTGGTGAAACGGCGTTCGAAGTCAAGGTTCGGATCAGACAGAGGAGTCAAGTGCTTGGAAAAGAAGGCAATTTCCTGATGGGTAGAGAGATATTATTAGCAATGATACTTGATCATTTCAGAACAACATCTAAAGATGAAGTGTTGCTCAATGCCAGCCACATCTACAAGCTACAGTATCGTGGTGACAAAGAGATGGACAAATTCCTCAATGCATGGATCGAAATCATCGCAAACATGAAGGTTGAGGACATACCATCCGACAACACACTACGTGATCATCTCCTGAGGAAAATTGATGGTTCTGAGGCGTTGCATGTCGACCTCACCATCTTCAAAGGTAGGGACAATGATGACAAGAAGAAGACCTACAAAGAGTTACTGGAGATCATGAAGAGGCACATTGCTCGTGTGCGTGAGGACAGAAACATTGCAGCGCGAGACAAGTTCGCCACCGACTACACCAATCTTGGTAAGCCAACTACCCCTGCACCAAAGCCTGCGGCTCCAACACCTGCACCGAAGGATGGTAAGACCGGAAAACCAAGTGCACCAGCACCCAAGGGTAAGCCTGGAGCCCCAGTTCTCCCATCCGGCACTCCAAAGAGTCACGGCAAGGGGAAAGGCAAGGGTGGTCGAAGATCTAGATCGCCTTCTACCAGAGATCCTTCGAAGACCTTTTGTCACTTTCACTTCAACAAAGGGAATTGTAAACATGGGGACAAATGTCAGTACAGTCATTCTCAATACCATTGGGACAAAAGGAAGGACAAAGGTGGCAAGGGCAAGAACAGTAGATCGACGACACCAAGAAGATCACGGACACCTGGTGGGAAGATTACGGGTGGCTGAAGGGTGACTGTCAGAAGGGTGACACATGTACTTTCAAGCATGATCCAAGCATGAAAGGCAAGAGAGCTGCTCCTTCGACGAAAACATCCGATGCCAAGGCCACTCCTGCATTGGTCCGAGAGTACGATGACGATTTCATCGTGACTGCTGTGCCGAGCGAGAAGAAGAACAAGATGGATGTCAAGTTCAATTATCACGTAGAGATAAACGAATATGTGAAGCCTGACTTTGTGGAATGCTCAAGCCGAAAGCCAAGGAGGAATCTGTCTCGAGCTCAGAAGCGACCATTGACGTGCAGAACTACCAAAGAAATCATGGACGACCAACAATGGGTGTTGCAATCCAAGTTGGGTATGACTAGGGCACGTGCAATTGGCATATTGATGGATGACTTCGATGAGTTCTCAGACGTTGATGAAGTACACGTTATCCTGGGACCCAAGAATGATACCACGCTCAAGATCAACAGCATTGAGTATTTGGAGAATAACAATCGAGCTGAGATATGCTATGAGGAGATCATCCCTCATGTACCAGGAAAATATGGTCGCAGTGACAACATCACGTGCATCACTATGCCGATCGAGCTCAAGGACAGACGTTTCATCATGGATTCTGGTAGTGGTCATGATCTCATTTCATCAACAAGAGTTGATCGGATGGACATCGACACATACCAGAGTGATAGAGCCAACTTCCACACTGCAAATGGTATCACATCTACTTCTACTATGGTGGATTTGGACACTGACACATTCAATGAACCTGCTAAGGCACATGTGCTAGAGGATACTCCATCAGTCCTCTCATTGGGAAAACGATGCATGGAACAAGGTTACACAGTTACACCTTTGTTTGGCCTAATGGGAGAGAATCCTACATGATCAACTCCGCAGGTGACAAGATTAGGATGGAAGTTCACGATCTCATCCCGTATGTCTATCTCGGGGCCAAAGACTATCGGCCAGTGCCTGACCATGAGGCTGAGTTGGTCATGAAGGTATTGGGTCTCATGGGCAACAGCACAGCATCAAGGACGATGTACTTTGATGGTGAGAGTGGTGATGAAATGTCCGAATCGGATGATGGGGTTGGTACGTACGTCGACGGGCCAACGAAGTCTCCGAGGAAGGCAAAGAAGAAGAAACGATCTAGACGGAAGACAGTTCCTGCAGCAGCTGGTGAAGAATATGATGAAGATGACGGTTATGAACCATCCATCCGTGAAGAGAATCCGGACGAGGAAGGTATCCACGTTGATGACGTCCCTGGCCAGAACGAGGATGGGGACGATGATGATGATGATCGAATACCAGCAGCTGATGATGATCCAGAGGATGATCAACCTGATGATGATGAAGTTGGTGTTGAAAATGGGCCACATGAAGAAGAAGATGAGGATGATATCCATGTCGATGACCCTGATGGAGGAGTACGATTCTCAAAGAGAGGTACCTCGAAGCATGAAGCTCGTACTCTGGAACATTTATTGACACATCGATACAAGAATCCGTACTGCAACTCCTGTGTGCGGGCTAAGATGAAGCACCACAAGACCTATCGAGGTGCATTCCGTCGAAAGCTTGCCAAGTTCGGCGACCTCATCACCTTTGACTTCATGGATACACACAAGACGACCAAGTTGGGCTATGACACGGTCAAGGAGATTCTTGTCATTCGCGACAGGTTCACCGGCATCATTCAGAGCTACCCCTCTCCAACTAAGAACACTGAAGACGTTGTGAGGGCGGTGAAGTACTTTATGGGAAGGCGTACTATCAGAGAAGCCTACTCCGACAAAGCTAGACAGTTTGTCAAGGGCATGGAAGCACTCAAGATACCTTTCGATCACGCCCTGCCGGGAAGACCATCTACGAATTCCCTTGCCGAGCGCAACAGCCAGTTCGTCATCGCAACAACCACCACATGCCTACTCGAGGCTGGGCTACCAGCATGTTTCTGGAAGTTTGCCATGCGATGTGTATGTCACCTACTCAACGTGGAACCTGGTGAAGACGATGTGAGGGCATGGTGTAAACTGCATGGCGCCGAGTTTAAAGGGGAAAAGATCCCATTTGGTGCTTTGGTTTATTTCAAGCCAAGTGGAGCTAGAGCCAATGAACAAGCTCACAAGTTCGACCCCAAGGGTATCCCCGGCGTCTTTGCTGGATACGAGATTGCCCCAGGCGTCAATTGGCGAAGGCAATATATGGCTTGGGCGTTATCGGACATGACGAAGCAGAACTATTTGTTCAATGCCAAGACCATTGTCGATAAGCTACGCCATCCTCACCTTACTGAGAAGATTGAAGTACATCTGCCATTGACGTTCCCATGCAAAGACATCTATGAGAAGGTGAACACCACATTGGAAGGGTTGGCTGTGAAAGATCGTCTTGAGGGATCGCCTGATTTCCTTGAAGATCAACAAGATGAAGATGATGATGACGAAGACGATGATGACGGAGATGGAGGTGATGATAAACCCAAGAAAGGGAAGATCACCAACCGTGTTGAACGCCAAGAAGAGGAGTTCAACCGCATGATGGAAGAGATGGACATCAAACTTGACAAGGAGAAAAGCGATGGAGCTGAAATTGTTGGTGAACCTCCTGTGCCTCCTCCTGATGGCGAACCTCCTTATGATGGACCTGAACATCACTCTATGGGCAAACCTGGTGACGGCATCATCTACCTCAGCGACATTGGCGAGCATGTCAAGCTCGACAAACGAGGACGACCTTATCGAGTCGGTCCGGATGGTCGCAAAGAAGTACGAGGATCACCAAGACCAAAGAGTAGTTACAGTCCTGAAGAATGGAAATCATTGTCCACCAAGGAGAGGGATGTCATCATTCGTCGTGGACAGCTAGAAGCTGAGGCCGAGAAACTCAAGGAAATCAAGTTGAAGAAAGAGAAAGAGAAGAAAGCCAAAGCTGAGGCTGCCGAGAAGAAGAAGTCTGAAGCAAGTTCACGCGCGAGACAAGTTCGCCACCGACTACACCAATCTTGGTAAGCCAACTACCCCTGCACCAAAGCCTGCGGCTCCAACACCTGCACCGAAGGATGGTAAGACCGGAAAACCAAGTGCACCAGCACCCAAGGGTAAGCCTGGAGCCCCAGTTCTCCCATCCGGCACTCCAAAGAGTCACGGCAAGGGGAAAGGCAAGGGTCGTCGAAGATCTAGATCGCCTTCTGCCAGAGATCCTTCGAAGACCTTTTGTCACTTTCACTTCAACAAAGGGAATTGTAAACATGGTGACAAATGTCAGTACAGTCATTCTCAATACCATTGGGACAAAAGGAAGGACAAAGGTGGCAAGGGCAAGAACAGTAGATCGACGACACCAAGAAGATCACAGACACCTGGTGGGAAGATTACGGGTGGCTGAAGGGTGACTGTCAGAAGGGTGACAAATGTACTTTCAAGCATGATCCAAGCATGAAAGGCAAGAGAGCTGCTCCTTCGACGAAAACATCCGATGCCAAGGCCACTCCTGCATTGGTCCGAGAGTACGATGACGATTTCATCGTGACTGCTGTGCCGAGCGAGAAGAAGAACAAGATGGATGTCAAGTTCAATTATCACGTAGAGATAAACGAATATGTGAAGCCTGACTTTGTGGAATGCTCAAACCAAAAGCCAAGGAGCAATCTGTCTCGAGCTCAGAAGCGACCATTGACGTGCAGAACTACCAAAGAAATCATGGACGACCAACAATGGGTGTTGCAATCCAAGTTGGGTATGACTAGGGCACGTGCAATTGGCATATTGATGGGTGACTTCAATGAGTTCTCAGGCGTTGATGAAGTACACGTTATCCTGGGACCCAAGAATGATATCACGCTCAAGATCAACAGCATTGAGTATTTGGAGAATAACAATCGAGCTGAGATATGCTATGAGGAGATCATCCCTCATGTACCAGGAAAATATGGTCGCCGTGACAACATCACGTGCATCACTATGCCGATCGAGCTCAAGGACAGACGTTTCATCATGGATTCTGGTAGTGGTCATGATCTCATTTCATCAACAAGAGTTGATCGGATGGACATCGACACATACCAGAGTGATAGAGCCAACTTCCACACTGCAAATGGTATCACATCTACTTCTACTATGGTAAATTTGGACTTTGACACATTCAATGAACATGCTAAGGCACATGTGCTAGAGGATACTCCATCAGTCCTCTCATTGGGAAAACGATGCATGGAACAAGGTTACACAGTTACACCTTTGTTTGGCCTAATGGGAGAGAACCCTACATGATCAACTCCGAAGGTGACAAGATTAGGATGGAAGTTCACGATCTCATCCCGTATGTCTATCTCGGGGCCAAAGACTATCGGCCAGTGCCTGACCATGAGGCTGAGTTGGTCATGAAGGTATTGGGTCTCATGGGCAACAGCACAGCATCAAGGACGATGTACTTTGATGGTGAGAGTGGTGATGAAATGTCCGAATCGGATGATGGGGTTGGTACGTACGTCGACGGGCCAACGAAGTCTCCGAGGAAGGCAAAGAAGAAGAAACGATCTAGACGGAAGACAGTTCCTGCAGCAGCTGGTGAAGAATATGATGAAGATGACGGTTATGAACCATCCATCCGTGAAGAGAATCCGGGCGAGGAAGGTATCCACGTTGATGACGTCCCTGGCCAGAACGAGGATGGGGACGATGATGATGATGATCGAATACCAGCAGCTGATGATGATCCAGAGGATGATCAACCTGATGATGATGAAGTTGGTGTTGAAAATGGGCCACATGAAGAAGAAGATGAGGATGATATCCATGTCGATGACCCTGATGGAGGAGTACGATTCTCAAAGAGAGGTACCTCGAAGCATGAAGCTCGTACTCTGGAACATTTATTGACACATCGATACAAGAATCCGTACTGCAACTCCTGTGTGCGGGCTAAGATGAAGCACCACAAGACCTATCGAGGTGCATTCCGTCGAAAGCTTGCCAAGTTCGGCGACCTCATCACCTTTGACTTCATGGATACACTTATAAGAATCTCATAGCCACAGACTGAGGTATGAAAAAAAGATATTTTTATCATTTTTTATCCCATTTCTTCAAACAAAACATCATATAAATCATCCTCTATTTTATCATCTGAAATGGTTATCTTTTTGATTATCTTTTGTTTCTTCGTCTAACCAGCCTCTCTTTTAACATTTGACAGGGTTATTTTGTTGATTTTTTTCTTCGTATGGATTGTCAAAGGTTTTTATCCTCTGTGTTTCTATCACGTCGTCTTTTCTTTTCTTGACTTTCTTTGCTACTGCACTTCCTCTCCTGTCTTCTCCACTTGATCTTACCCTTTAAGTGTCGTTTCTTTGATGTGGGCTATATATACGTATAGACATATATATATATCATAATGAAATCTATTAAACCATATCAAACCATCAACTGGCTTTATTTGCCTGCGCTTACTGTCCCAGGTCATGGATGGCTGTAGAGGAGTGTCAATTTGGGGATCGCTCGACGCAAAGTAGCTATGCGTTTTGTTTTTGTGTTTGTCCCCTTGCTAAAACTTAATTTGTCTTAATTTACTGTTAAGTTTTCATTGTTTTCATTTGGTTTTCAAACAGTTCATTGATGTATCCATTGTTTTTGCTTATTTGTTTTATATTGGCGCCCCGCAGAGAAGTTTCCAAAATAACAAAAATAATCATATTTTAAATCATCGTAGAAATCATTATTTTCTCCACATTTCCAGTGGCTTGCCACTTTTTCAATCATTTTGAAGCATTTTTAAGGAAAACGAAGGGAACATCCCAAAAACGATGATTTAAACGATGATTCAAACCATAAAAAAAGATAATTTCTCGCAGTTTTATCATTTTTTTTATCATTTGAAAGCTGTCCCAAAATCATCGAAAAATCATCGTCGAAATCATCATTTTCTCCATTTTGGAGCATTTTTGAGGAAAACGAAGGGAGCATCCAAAGAACGATGATTTAAACGATGGTTCAAACGATAAAAAAATGATAATTTCCCGCAGTTTTATCATTTTTTTATCGTTTGAAAGCTGTCCCAAAATCATCGAAAAATTATCGTCGAAATCATCATTTTCTTCATTTGGAGCATTTTTGAGGAAAACGAAGGGAACATCCCAAGAACGATGATATAAACGATGATTCAAACGATAAAAAAATGATAATTTCCCGCAGTTTTATCATTTTTTTATCGTTTGAAAGCTGTCCCAAAATCATCGAAAAATCATCGTCGAAATCATCATTTTCTCCATTTTGGAGCATTTTTGAGGAAAACGAAGGGAACATCCCAAGAACGATGATTTAAACGATGATTCAAACGATAAAAAAATGATAATTTCCCGCAGTTTTATCATTTTTTTATCGTTTGAAAGCTGTCCCAAAATCATCGAAAAATCATCGTCGAAATCATCATTTTCTTCATTTTGGAGCATTTTTGAGGAAAACGAAGGGAACATCCCAAGAACGATGATTTAAACGATGATTCAAACGATAAAAAAATGATAATTTCCCGCAGTTTTATCATTTTTTATCGTTTTAAAGCTGTCCCAAAATCATCGAAAAATCATCGTCGAAATCATCATTTTCTCCATTTTGGAGCATTTTTGAGGAAACGAAGGGAACATCCCAAGAACGATGATTTAAACGATGATTCAAACGATAAAAAAATGATAATTTCCCGCAGTTTTATCATTTTTTTATCGTTTGAAAGCTGTCCCAAAATCATCGAAAAATCATCGTCGAAATCATCATTTTCTCCATTTTGGAGCATTTTTGAGGAAAACGAAGGGAACATCCCAAGAACGATGATATAAACGATGATTCAAACGATAAAAAAATGATAATTTCCCGCAGTTTTATCATTTTTTTATCGTTTGAAAGCTGTCCCAAAATCATCGAAAAATCATCGTCGAAATCATCATTTTCTCCATTTTGGAGCATTTTTGAGGAAAACGAAGGGAACATCCCAAGAACGATGATTTAAACGATGATTCAAACGATAAAAAATGATAATTTCCCGCAGTTTTATCATTTTTTTATCGTTTGAAAGCTGTCCCAAAATCATCGAAAAATCATCGTCGAAATCATCATTTTCTTCATTTTGGAGCATTTTTGAGGAAAACGAAGGGAACATCCCAAGAACGATGATATAAACGATGATTCAAACGATAAAAAAATGATAATTTCCCGCAGTTTTATCATTTTTTTATCGTTTGAAAGCTGTCCCAAAATCATCGAAAAATCATCGTCGAAATCATCATTTTCTCCATTTTGGAGCATTTTTGAGGAAAACGAAGGGAACATCCCAAGAACGATGATATAAACGATGATTCAAACGATAAAAAAATGATAATTTCCCGCAGTTTTATCATTTTTTTATCGTTTGAAAGCTGTCCCAAAATCATCGAAAAATCATCGTCGAAATCATCGTGGAAATCATCATGTTTTCAACGATTCCCAGGAATGCTACCCAAAATCATCGTAGAAAGCATCATTTTTCAGCATGTCCCAGAAAAGTCACCCGGAATCATCCTAGAAATCATCATTTTCCCAACATGTCCCAGAAAGGCTACCCAAAATCATCCTAGATACCACCCTAATCCTACAAGTGTCCACAAATCACCCTAGCTAATCAAAAAGTCAGCCATCCATGTGGCTTGAATCCTTTTGGAACATGGGTTTATGAGTTTATCGGATACTCTCCGCTGGAATTGGAGGGGCATGATGTGACATAGATATTGTCGCTAAGTTTACTCAAATGACATAGAGATTAAACTAGCTTCTTTGGACCAAGATGACATCGAGATTAAGACCCGCGACTTATAGGAGAGCAAACAGAAACCTTTGGCAAAAAACAATGACAAATCCCAGGAGGGATTCAGGAAGGTTACTATGTTAAATGTAGGCTTGCAAAAAAAAAACTTCGAATAGATTAGGTTTGATTAGACCTCGCTGTAGATGTTTTGATGAACTGTCTATCTATGCCATGCCTTTACGTATCCCTGGTTTCCTGGGGTCGGCGGCAGGGGCAACAGCCCTGGAAGAAATCCTAGGACGGATTCTAGGATGAATTTAGGATGGCAAACAGTAGAGGATAAATCCCAGGATAAATCCAAAGATGAAGTTAGGAATCCAAAACGCAGGTGATAAATCCCAGGATAAATCCAATGATGAATTTAGGAAGGCAAAAAACAGAGGATAAATCCCAGGATAAATCAAACGATGAATATAGGAAGGTTCCAACGACAAAATATATTTTTTGGGTTTTCCATTCCCTGGCTGACTAAGATTCTTATAAGGATACACACAAGACGACCAAGTTGGGCTATGACACGGTCAAGGAGATTCTTGTCATTCGCGACAGGTTCACCGGCATCATTCAGAGCTACCCCTCTCCAACTAAGAACACTGAAGACGTTGTGAGGGCGGTGAAGTACTTTATGGGAAGGCGTACTATCAGAGAAGCCTACTCCGACAAAGCTAGACAGTTTGTCAAGGGCATGGAAGCACTCAAGATACCTTTCGATCACGCCCTGCCGGGAAGACCATCTACGAATTCCCTTGCCGAGCGCAACAGCCAGTTCGTCATCGCAACAACCACCACATGCCTACTCGAGGCTGGGCTACCAGCATGTTTCTGGAAGTTTGCCATACGATGTGTATGTCACCTACTCAACGTGGAACCTGGTGAAGACGATGTGAGTGCATGGTGTAAACTGCATGGCGCCGAGTTTAAAGGGGAAAAGATCCCATTTGGTGCTTTGGTTTATTTCAAGCCAAGTGGAGCTAGAGCCAATGAACAAGCTCACAAGTTCGACCCCAAGGGTATCCCCGGCGTCTTTGCTGGATACGAGATTGCCCCAGGCGTCAATTGGCGAAGGCAATATATGGCTTGGGCGTTATCGGACATGACGAAGCAGAACTATTTGTTCAATGCCAAGACCATTGTCGATAAGCTACGCCATCCTCACCTTACTGAGAAGATTGAAGTACATCTGCCATTGACGTTCCCATGCAAAGACATCTATGAGAAGGTGAACACCACATTGGAAGGGTTGGCTGTGAAAGATCGTCTTGAGGGATCGCCTGATTTCCTTGAAGATCAACAAGATGAAGATGATGATGACGAAGACGATGATGACGGAGATGGAAGTGATGATAAACCCAAGAAAGGGAAGATCACCAACCGTGTTGAACGCCAAGAAGAGGAGTTCAACCGCATGATGGAAGAGATGGACATCAAACTTGACAAGGAGAAAAGCGATGGAGCTGAAATTGTTGGTGAACCTCCTGTGCCTCCTCCTGATGGCGAACCTCCTTATGATGGACCTGAACATCACTCTATGGGCAAACCTGGTGACGGCATCATCTACCTCAGCGACATTGGCGAGCATGTCAAGCTCGACAAACGAGGACGACCTTATCGAGTCGGTCCGGATGGTCGCAAAGAAGTACGAGGATCACCAAGACCAAAGAGTAGTTACAGTCCTGAAGAATGGAAATCATTGTCCACCAAGGAGAGGGATGTCATCATTCGTCGTGGACAGCTAGAAGCTGAGGCCGAGAAACTCAAGGAAATCAAGTTGAAGGAAGAGAAAGAGAAGAAAGCCAAAGCTGAGGCTGCCGAGAAGAAGATGTCTGAAACAAAGATCCACCAAAAGATGAAGGACGAAAGAAAAAGAAAAAGGGTAATAAAGATTCGAAGGAGAGTTCAGGCAAAGATGGCGGCAAAGACGCTGCTGTTGGCGTGGGAACGCTCCGAGGAGATTGGGTACGTATACCTACGACATCCTACGACCCATGAACCGAGGAAGCTGAACCATGCCAGGGATCATGGCGATCGGGAATGCTTATCAGCAACCCGTGATGCCAATGATCTCATCGACTTCAAGAAGCACAACATTGTCTCTCCTGCAACTCCCAGCGAGACGAGCACAAATATCCCAAGTGATGATGATGGTCAAGAGTTCATAAATGAATGGGATGAATGGTCTGAACATGAAGTCGGCAAAGGACCAAGAGCTCACTGTGAAGATGTGCATGATGACTTTAACACTGGGAAGATCATGACACCTGCTAAAGCTGCACCAACGGCTTCTACCTCAAAAGACTCCGACGGCAAGTCCAAGGTCGACCACTTCGTGAGCTCGATTCCTTGCATGCCTTGTGTTCATCAAGATCTTGAGCATCGCGAGAAGTTCGGTCAAGGTGAGATGAGGTTTGGGAAGTTGTACAACGCGATGGTCTCACGACCAGTTGGTCGTAAAGAGATGATGGAAGACCCGGACGCCAAGGCTTCTATGAGGAACGAGTGGTTGGAGCAGCACAAGCAAGGAGTCTATGATTTCTCCATGGTTCGTGAATACGATGATGTTGTGGCAGAAGCAAAACGTGAAGGAAAAGAAGTTCACATGGCACGGGTTCACGGCATTTGTGTCGAGAAGAACTACCAGTTGCCGAAGGGGAGCCCTGGACGAAAATTCAAAGGTCGAGGCGTTTTACGTGGAAACCAAGTGAAGAATCAACACTGGGAAGCCGCGTTCTTTCAGGACCTCGGCAATTCACCAGCGACGTTTGAAGCCTCCCGATGGGCAGATTTCTATGGTTGCATTCCGGGTCACAACGTGAAGCTGGCAGACGCCATTCAGGCGTACATACAAGCGAGGCTCACGGGACCTCCTTGTTGGGTCGAACCGAAGATGCGTGGCCGGACGACATTGACATCAGGAAGTTCAGAAGACCGGTAGTGCGACTTGTCAAAGCACTTTATGGTCATCCTGATGCGGGCACGATGTGGGAACAACATTGTGACACACATGTCCGTGAAGTTGGGTTCATGCCAGTTGGGGAGGAATGGCCATCAATGTACTTCCATAAGGAACTCAAACTTTTGTTAGTCATCTATGTTGATGATCTGAAGTTAGCTGGACCAGTACAGAATCTCACCAAGGGATGGGAAATGTTAAGGTCAAAGCTACGACTTGAACCTGAGACTGATTTGGGTCTCTATCTTGGTTGTTTGCTAAGCAAAGGAACCAATCGCCTGCATGATGGCACAGAGGTCACTACTATGACCTACAATATGGAGGGTCTTTTGAAGCTCTCTGTTGAAAAGTATCTTGATCTTGTGGGGAAAGATACAAAGTTAAAACAAGTCTCGACACCTAGTCTCCCTGAAGAGACCAAACAACATAAGTCTCGAGCACCAGCACCTGGGGATCCCAAACATGCAGTTCAATGTCCCTGGTGTTCTACAAAGTTCGATCCTGGATCGTCGGTTGCCTTACAGCCCGATGCCTCCGATTCTCGGCCGGAATCTGTTGAAGTCCGACGAGGTGCACTCGCTCCTCACGCTGCTAGCATCTTGATGAAGCTCTTGTATGCAGCAAGGATCGCCCGATTTGATTTGTTGAGATCAATCAATACATTAGCACGAAATGTGACGAAATGGTCCATTCAAGATGATGCCAAACTATACCATCTGATGTGCTATGTCAATTCTACCTTAGGGAAGAGAATGATTGGATGGGTCGGAAACGACATGAAGGATCTATCCATTGCGTTATATGCAGATGCTGATTTCGCGGGATGTGCACAATCATTGAGGTCCACGTCAGGTTCTCATATGCATATTCAGGGGAAACGTACTCGGTTTCCGTTAGCTGGTGGAAGCAAACGCCCGGGGTGTGGGAGCCATTCTACACCTGAAGCTGAGATCGTAGCCGCTGATGTAACCTCCGAACAATGGGTCTTCCTGCACTCAGTATTTGGGAAACGCTTACAGATTCATCTCCCAAGTTATTGTTTCATGGTGACAATCAAGGGATGATTGGTGTGGTTCGTTCTGGAATAAATCCAACAATGCGGCATCTGGAAAGGACTCATGGAATTTCTATTACGTCATTACATGAGATTTCAGCAAAGATCACTTCGTTCTCATGTACGAGATCACAGCGAAGATGGCCGCGGACATCCACACAAAAGGTTTTACAAACCCCCTAGCCTGGAAGAAGGCTTGTATGTTGATCAATCTTTTGGAACCCGAAGACCTTGGTTCGAAGCAATTGGCAGACCTAGTGCAGCCCACTACGGATGTTGACACTGCAGTTCGTCAAGTTTTTCAGTCAAGGACAGACGAGGCTCCCAATTTTCCATACACTGAAACACCCATACTGCCACCTGAGGTGTATCGTAGGGGTCTTTCAAGTCGAGAAAAGCTTCAAGAACTACCTGGTATGGATCCAATATTTGTGGTCAAAACTCCTACATTGTTCAGAACAAGACCAGCTGGTGTCAAACTTCCTGCAGATTGCCTTCGGAGGACCTGGATCTTAGCCCATGGGAAGTGGGAACAAGTTGAGGATCGTGTTCCACCTTTGTTACAACAATCACGTCTTGACAAATGGATTGAAAGGGCATGCTTCCAGTACCATCACTCCACTTCCGCTCGGATTGTATCACTGCCCGTATGCGTATCCGCAGCGGCCAGTTCTCGGTTCCAACGTACGTCGACGTCGGAACTGAGCAATCCGAGCCTCACATTCAGTACTGAAATACTCAACGTCATCAGAAGATTCCGTATTCGTTATATGAAGGGAATCCCATGACTATTAGGGTGATCAATGCCCTGGTACGCCTTGTTCATGGGGGGAGAGGCATGGAGGATTCGAAACAATTCCAAGATCCCACAAAGTTCAACAAATCGTTTTCAGACCTGTTGAAGTTACAAAAGCCACCTATACGGAGAAGAAATATCAAGAAAATAGCATCAGCAACAGAATGTGGTCAAGATGAAGCACCTGTTCGTGACGAATGGAAGTGGATAGGAGACCATATTTTGGAAAGGATCCACAATGTACCAAGAAGAGAGATGTTCGTTCCAAGTGATTGTGATGATTGTCCGTGTGATCATCGTTTGATTCAAGATTGGAGGGAAACTCAATTGAAGTTCCAGTCGAATGTGAAGATGGACAAGGGCAATTGGCGTCTCCCAGGTAACAATGGAGAAAGGTCAAACAATCGAAATGAGTTCTGGACTGGAAAGTCTATCAACAGCATGGGTCTGGACATCATTTCTCCCAACCAGATATTTGTTCCTCACACATATCGGATGGTGGTCGAAGAGAATAAGAACAAGAATGAATTGAACATATTTGCGGACAGTTTCATCAATCTGGTATTGGTTCGCGACAACGGGCAATGCATGAAGTATTCGTTCACCAGATCGATTCATGATCTTGACAATACAAAGTATTTCGGAAAGAACGTCACTATTACAATGCAAGAGCTGCCCGAAAGTACACCCACTATGGTATTGATGTGTGCCGAACCTTCAAGTTTGATAACAAAAAGGTACAGAGAAATCATGGATACATCTTTTCATCTGGAATTGATCACAGAGGATGATGACCTTCTCTCCAGATATGGAAATGCAAAGTGGAGGAGATGCCTCCGCAGCAACAAGGACTGAGTCTTCTTCGCTGGACCGTGCACGGGCGGATCTCCGTGAACAGACTGAACAAAAGGGTTAGGAATGCTACAGCTCATATGATTCATGCCAAAGCCCGTCTCTACTGGAAGTTATGGGAAGAGTTTTCAGATTGCTTATTGAGAGTGATCAAGTTGGATGCCATGGCCCTATTAGAGTTGCCTAGGGGCTGTGACTACTGGAATGAGAGGATGAGATGCATGATTGACGGCACCGAATCACATATTCATGACTTCGATGGATGCATGTACGGTCTTACAACACAGTTTGGTGGTCATCGCATTCCAATCAAGAAGCCATGGAGACTTGTATCATGGGAGGTCAAGTTTGATTTACACAAGAACTGTGATCGGAAACATGATCATGGAAAATGTGAAGGTCGAGAAACGAAAGTTACACAGACCCACACACCAATCAGATTGTCGACATCATTCTCAAATCAGTACGTCGACATATGTCTATCCGGTTCAAGGAGTCGTTGTCAAAGACGGATGATACATGCAGCAGTTGCAAGCATGACAGACGTTTAACAGTTTAACAAAGAAGACAGCGGTTTCTATCACCTATGACATTGATGAGATAGCAGCGGACCTTATGTCGTTGATAATGTATCACATGAGGGGATGTCCAGTCAATGCATGCTCCGATATCTCAGGATACCGAAAGATGGAAGATCAATGGTCCACGACTTTTACGACATCCTTTTCGTCGTGCATCACCGGACGGGAGATCGGAAACCTGCACGTGTATCCACGGCAGGGAGTACGTGACCCCTGGGCGAACGGAAAGCCGGGAGTTTATCAACACCGGTTAGTACGGGACCCCTCCGGTGCGACTGCCATGTCGGACCACTCGCCGATCATTGGTTCGGCGCAACATGAAGTCAACGACATCCGCTCCATCCTCGTGACGCTGCGGGACAACGGGTGACGCTGCGGGACAACGGGAAGCAAGGAGCTATCCCCGTTATGTACAAGGAGCACGAGCCGACGTGCAGCAGTTTGCCGGACAGCACGGTCGACAGGTGGCATGCAATCGGGATTGGTCCGATCGCTGCAGCATCAGCGTGCTTCCTGGGCAAGGTACCTTCGAACCGATCCGAAGTGAATGCCATCACGCTGTTCCTTCAGGTCTTCGAGCTGGTCAACTGCCCAGAGGAGCTGAACCAAGGAGCCAAAAGATTCTTGGACAGGTGCACCACCTACATGAAGACCTTCGTCCAGCTTGCATCTCGAAGCAACCACAAAGTCCTTGGGTTTTGCACCGCAGAATGCGTCAATAGTTTGGGAAACATGTGGGAGCACATCAAGAACTTCCATGTGCCTCACCCCATTCGGAACGACGCAGCATTTACTGCGTCGATGCTGCGAGATCACCTTCGGGAATTCAAGCTTCGACCATATGGGGGTGATCTACGAGGTGTGAACCAATCAGTCCCGGCCGAGAACACATGGTTGAGTGCAACGAGAAAGAGGGACGGGGTCCTCAATCCGTCCGATCCCGACGCGCCCATCACTATCTCGTTCAGGGCGATTCACCGTGAGCTCCACTACTTCGACATGGGCACGACCTGGCAAACAAAAGGAACCCAGGAGATGTTCAATGCAACCCTCGACGAGTGGCAGCGCCAGGTGATTCATTTGGGGCATGCATGGAGATGCTACAACCAGAAGGTGGACGATGATTGTGAGAACGTGGACACTATGACGACGTTGGAGGCAACGATCACTGACCTCATCGAGCAGAACACCAAGATGGGTCGTGAGCGGGCCGCTGCGGTGAATCACTTCACCTGCATCCTGGCTCTAGCTCCCGCGATCTATAGATGGAAGAAGAAGCTGCCTCGATTCGTCAACTATTCCGCAATGGCCAGAGACAATATGTCCAACATCGAAGGGTACATCGGGCGAGTTCAACAGTCCTTGATGCTTACGCCAGAGATCCTGGAGAACCATGGCTACAACGTCATCAATGTTGAGGAAGGCAACCATGAGGAGATCAAGAAGCGCAACAAATGCTTCTCAGCCTTGAGGGATTTCATGACAACCCTCACGGAAACCCAAGCTGGAGGAGGACAGTCGGGAACTCAAGTTGCTGCGTGTGGATGGATGAAAGTGTTGAGGTTTGGCGACGGCGTTTGGCCGCCAGAGCCTCCAAGGGGGCAAGTACCAGAGTGGGTCACGATCTCAGACCCAACGGTGCCAATGCCAAGGGTCAACAGATTTGTGCCCAAGCAACCTCCTGGACCACCACCTGGATATAAGGCTCCACCACAGCCTTACCCATCAGCACCACCACCGAAGGCAAGACCGACTTCTCCAACAGCACCACCACGATCGAGTGCGGCGGGAGCGCAATCATCCAGCTCGGCTGGACCTCCACCACAAGCGGCACCCAAACCGGCGGCGAAGCCAATGCCATCAAGGCGTGACATGCCCGAGACTGAGTACGTCCCAGCACAGAAACCATTGAATGTGGTCACCTATAGCAGGGTATGGATGGACTACACGGGCACGCCGGTGAGATCGACGTTGAACGTTCATGTGGACACCATGAACGAGTTTGCCCTGTCACATGTCCAGGGGCCAATGGCGAACGGTGCTCAATCTACGTGGCGGCAATACCTCAGGAGGGTGGCCACGTACACTTGCCTATGTTTTGGACTCGCGAATGCCAGAGAGATAGCTGACAACTCCTACACCGTCAGTGACCTTGAATGGCTGAGGATCTACAATGCAGCCGTGAAGCGTGGGGGATGCTGCATCAGAACTACTACCTGTCAGTCGGGTCAATGACAGTCATGGTCAACATGAACGATGACTTGCAGGCAACTGATCGTGAGTACGTGAAGTGGAAACGGGATCCCCGATGCTTACCCCTGGCTGAAATCCTGAGGGTCGAGCCCAAAAAAAATAGCCAGCCGGTACCTTGGATATCTTCCACCGCATATTAATATTTATCCCAGTAGCTGTTTCTTATATCTTGGGGTTGTATCGAAATTCGCCGGATACGTTTACTATCAAATATAAAAGTTCTACACGTTCTTGACTCTCAGTCCCACGGAATTTTATCCGGGAGGGATTTTGGTACATGAAACAGTTCAAGCAGGGATTTTGGACGTTCTGTTTGGAGGGCATTGTGCGCGATAGGTTTCCAAATCCACAGGGCTCATGCTAGCCACGTTTTGGGACTGAGCCGGAACTGCACTCTTCCGTGCATATGTTGTCCTGGCCCCATTTTTGGAACGGGCGAAGAAAAACGAGGTTTGTGCATCAACTGTTTTTTTGCGCGAACCATCTTGTTGAAAAAATCATTTCGCAGCCAGCATTGCATGTACATCATGTACTGCCATCCGTTCTTGGCCCAGTACTTTTTTAGATGTTCAGAGATGATGGCAACCTGCCATCAGAGTGCCCCCCAAAAAAACAATATAAACAATTGTACAATATTTGGATAGCACGCATTTGCCATCCCACCAACACATACACACACACACACGCAACAATGCAAACACTGCAGGATATGCAGGGGCAGAATGGTGCAAAAAAACAGTGACAAAAACCTGCAAGCATCATGAAGATCATTGTGGATCATAACCTGCAAAGACCTCACATTTTTCAAAAATTGACTCGGCCGAATAGACCTCAAACCCTTGGATTTTATCTGCCTGGTATGAGACTAAAAGGCACAAGCAACGGGGATGAAACGGGGCCTGATGTCAGGTATCGGTGGAACCATTGAAGAAAGGCCATTGGTACGTAAAGAGAAGGACGTACTGGCAGGAAAGTTCAGGTTCGGCAAGACCATTTTGATCACGGACCTCGTCTACAAATGCAGCTCGAATGCGAGAGGGATGACCAACGTTCAATATGGGCTTGATGCATGGGCTATGCCATCACGGTCATCGACATCAACAGCTTCAAGAGCGTGACCAGGGCCCAGAAATTCCTCGACGCACTCGAACGCCTGAAAAGGAACGTGATGCCGGACATCGCGGCGGAGGAGAATGTGACGATCCATTTTTGGATATCATTTGCATTTCTCATCACCGGCCAACACCCGTACCATGTGTGGGTTGAGGGGAACTTCGCTGAGCGGATGGCCGAGGCAATTCGAAGTGTGGACAAGATGGCGACGAGACCAATCTTTGTGTCACTCTGCAAGGACTCCAGATTTCATGGTATTCCATCTGGCATCCGAGAAGTGGCCACGGACTCGGCAGACATCTTGAGAAGCTTCGGAATTATGGTCACCACTGATGATGGAATGTGGAGATTGATGTATGGTCACGCCGGCAATCACTACATGAACAACCACAACATGCCAGATCGACTGGGAGTTAAGTTCTTGTTCAGACAACGGGTACTGTTGATGTGCTCCCTGAACGTCGAGGCCGCAAAGGGGCTGAACGACATGGTGAAGGAATCTTCCATGAAAGTTGGCATCAACCTGGAGCTGATGGAGGAAGTGCTCAAGGAACCAGCAACGATTGAGATCGGAACTGGAGATGGAGTTCCTGACACTGCAAGCGCTGGAACCGATTGCCAGGTACGGTTGGTGGTGGAAGAAGAATCAATGTGGGATATGAGAAGGCGCCATGGATTGATGCAACGGTGAGATCAGTTTTGCCGGAATCCTCAACCAACATGTATGACTGTATGACATGTGGTTCTATGTCAACCATGGACGCGATGAAATGATCCTATGCCAAAAGCATTTCAACGGGCACGATGATGAAGTAATGCCACATGACTTCATGAATCAAAACCTTGGATGTGGGAAAGAATGCATAGCGTGCCGAGCCAGTGAGATGTCGAGGGACTACGACCTTTGGCCTCCAGAATGCCAACGAAAGACAATCATCAAGACGGCGACAAGGATTCGCGCATTCTTCAACATCATGGATGATGTGGGCACCACAATCATGGACCCGCAGAAGGACTTCCTCCAGTTCCTCAACGACATCACCCGCGCAATGGTGGGCAACAAGGGATGTGAACATGGCGAGATCCTGATGAAGGCGCTGTCGCACTTCGGAACTGTTAGAGTTCCCAGGGATCGCGTGAAGCAGATCTTCACTGGAAAACGTGGGAGACAATACATCGTTATCCGAGAAGAGTTCTCGTTGGAGACTGGCAAGGGCACCTACGAACGATTTGCATATCGTGTCTCCAAAGATTATGGGAACGTATTCTACAAAGATTGCCTCAAAATGGTGCTTGGGAATGACTTCATGGGTTATCCCGACGTCGCAGCCGAGAAATGCGGCGACGTTGTCGAGATGTGGCTTGGCATGCTTGACCTCTCGCCAACAGGGCAGACCCGGGCGAGCTACTTGCGGGCCTGGAAGCATCACTCAATATCTTCCATGGGACGACAAGATCGACTACAACTCCCAACGCAAAAAGGGGTGGATCGAGGATAACTGAACCCATATGAACCCATGAATCACGAAGAGACTATCGTGAACCAGATCCTGCGTGACGTCCCAATGTGGCACAGTTTGCGAAATTCCTGTTTGATTGAGGAGAAAGAGATCAACGTCAGCAGCGAGAACTATAAAAGGTCTATGGCCGATGACAATGATGATGACGACATGGAACACGAAGGTCACGGAACCGGGGCAGGCACATCTGCGGCCCAGGAGCCAACGACCGGAGACGCGGAAGCAAGTGCGGAAGGAGCAAGCACATCTGCAGCTCCGGACATGCACGATGCGACCAAGTCTCCATCCGACCCTGAGGAGGAGTTCCAGATGTCTCAAGACAAGGGAGCAGTCATCGAGGCCATCGACGCACTCTTTGCATTGGCTGATGATAATAATGTTTGCTTGAAGTGTGGTGAGTACGGACATCCCAACTACGAATGTCCTACAAAAGGTGATGATCAAGTCAAGACTGCATTGATCAACCTGAGGAAGAAGCTCCAGGGCGATGAAGTCGGAGATGAAGAAATGTCCAAAGAAACCGAAGACAAAGATCAGGAACACTTCCGACAAGAAGGTTACAAGGCCACAAGGGAGGGAGAGCACATGTATCACATGTATCTCCAATCCATCCCATTGTCAGTGATCGGTGATCGAGCACATGGTGAGAAGAGCATCAACGGTGTCAGAGTCGTTGAGAAAGGACCAATGACGAAGGATGCACTGAATCACATCGTCGATACGGCAAGTCAAAAAGGCATCACTCTCACCTGCAAGGAGATGAAATCGGCCCTCTTGTACTCCGACCACAAGATGTACAAGAAGCTCAAAATCGGGACCGACATCGGAAAGCTGAAGATCTTACCGACCAACGGCGGCAAGTTCTATTCCAGCAGTTATGCCGGAAGCGGGATTGAATTTCCCCTGCCGACCGAAACCCATATAGGAACATACCCCCAACTACTAAAGGGTTTGAAATGGTATACCCAGGGCTCTCCCGAGGGGGGGGTCTAGAATGGTATTTTTTCATGTTAGACCCCAACCCCCTGATGATCTCAGACCCCTCAACATAGGTTTTTATCATACTTCCCATAATCATAATAGACTCCAAAACTGATGATTCCAGACCCCCCACCGTTTAGGTCTAATATGATCAATCTCATTTTTGACAATTTGAGGGGGTGGTTTCACCCTAGACCCCTTTTTGGGGTCTGGAATCATTCCACCCCCCCCAAAACTTCCTCCCACATTTGAGGTCTAAAATCAAAAACGTAAAAGGGGGGGGTTTACAAAAAAGATATTAGACCCTGCTACGTTATCTCCCATAACTTGATGTAAATTTTAACGGGTTTCCTACGTTTTTGATTGTTTTCGTACGTTTTTTGATATAATTAGGATCTGTGTGATCTCAAAGTAGGCATTTTTGTTTGTGCATTATTTTTTTGGACATGCAATGTGTTTTTCAGACCCCACATAATGGACCAACAGGGCACATCATCGCACAACATGTTTTTTTTCTGCGTCGCCTTGTTTTGTGGTCTTGTCTTGGAACTTTGCTCACCCAAAGCAATGTTCTGATTTTATCTAATTTTGGCATCTTGCCAAGGGTTGGCATGTTGCCAACTTTCACTATCTTTCCCTGATCTGCTCCAAGCTTTTCATGGAACACAGCATCAGCAAGGCGATGGCTCTAACTCTGCAGGTTCTCTTCGCAGCTCTTTGATAGAAAGAATAGAAACGAATCCTGAAAAAAAAATGTACGAAATTATAGACGGCTATTCATTGTTATTCATGGCCAAGGCACCTCGCCACGACGCGCGAGTTATACCATTCAAACATGACAAAATGTAAGTACAATTCAACATATATAATATGACAAAATATTGCATCATTTCAAAACATGCAAGAAAAACAATGTAGAGCTCAAAAACAGGGCATAGGCTCACAACAGAGGGTCTAGGTTGGTCTTACTTGGAGGTTGAACCATTCTTTCAACAGCTGATGATGCAAAATACCATTTCAGACCCCCAATGAAACAAAAAAAACTGAATTCCACAGCTCAACCCCTGGCATTTTCTGTTAGGACTTTCAACCTGCTGGGACAAAAACACATTAACAAAAAGGGTCGTATTTCAAGATTCACACACCATTCAATTGGACATCATTTCAAAATATGCAAGAAAAACCATGTAGAGCTCACAAATAGGGTATAGGCTCACAATAGAGGGTCTAGGTTGGTCGTACTTGGAGGTTGAACCATTCTTTCAACAGCTGATGATGCAAAATACCATTTCAGACCCCCAATGAAACAAAAAAAACTGAATTCCACAGCTCAACCCCTGGCATTTTCTGTTGGGACTTTCAACCTGTTGGGACAAAAACACATTAACAAAAAGGGACGTATTTCAAGATTCACACACCATTCAATTGGACATCATTTCAAAATATGCAAGAAAAACCATGTAGAGCTCACAAACAAGGCATAGGCTCGCAACAGAGGGTCTAGGTTGGTCTTACTTAGAGGTTGAACCATTCTTTCAACAGCTGATGATGCAAAATACCATTTCAGACCCCCAATGAAACAAAAAAAACTGAATTCCACAGCTCAACCCCTGGCATTTTCTGTTGGGACTTTCAACCTGTTGGGACAAAAACACATTAACAAAAAGGGTCGTATTTCAAGATTCACACACCATTCAATTGGACATCATTTCAAAATATGCAAGAAAAACAATGTAGAGCTCACAAATAGGGTATAGGCTCACAATAGAGGGTCTAGGTTGGTCTTACTTGGAGGTTGAACCATTATTTCAACAGCTGATGATGCAAAATACCATTTCAGACCCCCAATGAAACAAAAAAACTGAATTCCACAGCTCAACCCCTGGCATTTTCTGTTGGGACTTTCAACCTGTTGGGACAAAAACACATTAACAAAAAGGGTCGTATTTCAAGATTCACACACCATTCAATTGGACATCATTTCAAAATATGCAAGAAAAACCATGTAGAGCTCACAAATAGGGTATAGGCTCACAATAGAGGGTCTAGGTTGGTCTTACTTGGAGGTTGAACCATGCTTTCAACAGCTGATGATGCAAAATACCATTTCAGACCCCCAATGAAACAAAAAAAACTGAATTCCACAGCTCAACCCCTGGCATTTTCTGTTGGGACTTTCAACCTGTTGGGACAAAAACACATTAACAAAAAGGGTCGTATTTCAAGATTCACACACCATTCAATTGGACATCATTTCAAAAGATGCAAGAAAAACAATGTAGAGCTCACAAATAGGGTATAGGCTCACAATAGAGGGTCTAGGTTGGTCTTACTTGGAGGTTGAACCATGCTTTCAACAGCTGATGATGCAAAATACCATTTCAGACCCCCAATGAAACAAAAAAACTGAATTCCACAGCTCAACCCCTGGCATTTTCTGTTGGGATTTTCAACCTGTTGGGACAAAAACACATTAACAAAAAGGGTCGTAGTTCAAGATTCACACACCATTCAATTGGACATCATTTCAAAATATGCAAGAAAAACCATGTAGAGCTCACAAATAAGGTATAGGCTCACAATAGAGGGTCTAGGTTGGTCTTACTTGGGGGTTAAACCATTCTTTCAACAGCTGATGATGCAAAATACCATTTCAGACCCCCAATGAAACAAAAAAAACTGAATTCCACAGCTCAACCCCTGGCATTTTCTGTTGGGACTTTCAACCTGTTGGAGCAAAAACACATTAACAAAAAGGGACGTATTTCAAGATTCACACACCATTCAATTGGACATCATTTCAAAATATGCAAGAAAAACCATGTAGAGCTCACAAACAAGGCATAGGCTCGCAACAGAGGGTCTAGGTTGGTCTTACTTGGGGGTTGAACCATTCTTTCAACAGCTGATGATGCAAAATACCATTTCAGACCCCCAATGAAACAAAAAAAACTGAATTCCACAGCTCAACCCCTGGCATTTTCTGTTAGGACTTTCAACCTGCTGGGACAAAAACACATTAACAAAAAGGGTCGTATTTCAAGATTCACACACCATTCAATTGGACATCATTTCAAAATATGCAAGAAAAACCATGTAGAGCTCATAAACAAGGCATAGGCTCGCAACAGAGGGTCTAGGTTGGTCTTACTTGGAGGTTGAACCATTCTTTCAACAGCTGATGATGCAAAATACCATTTCAGACCCCCAATGAAACAAAAAAAACTGAATTCCACAGCTCAACCCCTGGCATTTTCTGTTGGGACTTTCAACCTGTTGGGGCAAAAAAACAGTAACAAAAAGGGTCGTATTTCAAGATTCACACTCCATTCAATTGGACATCATTTCAAAATATGCAAGAAAAACCATGTAGAGCTCGCAAACAAGGCGTAGGCTCGCAACAGAGGGTCTAGGTTGGTCGTACTTGGAGGTTGAACCATTCTTTCAACAGCTGATGATGCAAAATACCATTTCAGACCCCCAATGAAACAAAAAAAACTGAATTCCACAGCTCAACCCCTGGCATTTTCTGTTGGGACTTTCAACCTGTTGGGACATTGGTCAAATTTGGAATTTGCACCTTTGGGGTCTAAGATTGGTTGTCCCAGAAAGGGGGTCTGACATTGTAAGGTCACTGAAAACAAATCGATCACCAAACATGGGGTCTGAAATCTTTTCGGGCCCGTTTTTTTTGGGGGGTCTATTCTTAACCTACCCGAACTTGACATCACTTGTCAGCATCATGATAACCCTGTTCCACATGATCCTAGACCCCTATTTGGAATACCCAGGGGGGGGTCTAGGATCATGGTCTAAAAGTTACGGTTTTACTGGGAGCACACAATTTCAGACCCTTGGATTTTGGGGTCTATTATGAAAAACCAACCCCCCCCTGGCAGTAGTTGGGGGTATTCAGATAGCAGGTCCTCAGCCACTGAGGTCTGAATATCAGCCAGATGGTGTAGATTGCATGAGCTATGTGAATCGTAGGCGTGTTTGGTCTGCAAACACTTTGTACAAATTCATTTCCGATGTATGTCTCTTTTGCCTGGACGTTGGCATGATTGTTGTTGTGGAGAACCCAAGATCATCCTTGTACTGGCGCACCACCATGTTTGCGCCCTTGCGTAAAAGATTGCAATTCACAGCCCATCAGGCATGTGCCTACGGGTCTAGCCGACCAAAATGGACAGTCTTGGCACACAACACTACGTCATTGCTTGGCCTCTGCAAAACTTGCCCGGGCCTTAGCAAGTTTCATGGGCACAAACCGTGGGGCATGGTCCAAAACCATGACCAACCCAATTCACAGAAATTTTCAACCTCAGAAGAGACGGCCTACCCGCCGCTCCTTGCATATACGATTGCATTTTGCATCGCTCAAGAGCTGATAAATCTTGGTTGGAATCCTCCAGGCATTGAGTTCGCTGAACCCGAAAGTATTTCTTTTCAGTATCTAAGGGCAGTTGTCGGAACCCAACCGAAAGCCAGCAAATTGCCGCCTTTGTTGTCAGAGTACTCCCATGTTCTATGCCTGCAAGTCCCCCCAGATGGACTGCCTGTTCAATATGGGCAACAACTCCAACACGCCCTTCAGCATGTGCCTCCAGGGTCAAGACTGCTGCGTCGTCCACCTCTACGGTTAAATGGGGGTAAGAAGGGTAGTAAGAAGGGTGGTGGGGATAAACCTTGTGGGGATAAACTTTGTGATGATAACCTAAATTGGCCAGCCGGCCCATTTAAGAGCCCCGAAAAGCCTTGTCCAGGTAAGCCCAGTTCAGAGCATACCCATGCCCTGCAGGATCAGCCAGTTGCTTACTTTGGTGTTTACCGCACGGGACTGCAGTTTGTAGATGCTGCAGTGAAAGCAGGGCACCCGGTTGGGAGATCTGCAAAATTGCCAGGGCCGCTGCACGAAGCCGTCCAGTGTGTAGCGACCGTGCCCATCGGGGAGCTGGCAAAACGTCGCCATGCCGTGTTGGCCTATTGGTTGGAAAGAGCAAGATCTCGTGTGGGGATGAATCCGCCCTTCACGCAAGTCTGCCCGAGTCATTGCAACAAATCCTTGCGCCAAAAAGATTACTCCTTTGGAAAGAGATGCTACAGTTCTACGGGTATCCGGACTGTGAGGTGTTTGGAGAAGTCGTTGAAGGCATCGACCTTGCTGGTCCGGTTGAGGCTGTCCCGGCGTTTGATCCTTGTTTTAAACCTGCCAAATTGTCCTTGGCGGAATTGGCCCAGACCGCGAAAGCATCAAGGGTTGCCATGCTTCAAACCGTCAGATCGTCTGGGGATGCGGAGATCGACTCAACAGTTTTTGCCAAGACCCTTGAGGAGCTTGATTGCGGATGGCTTGAGGGCCCCTTCGAGCCAGCAGACCTTCCTGCATGTGCAGTTGTGAGTAGGCGTTTTGGCATCAAGCAGTCGTCGGGTGAGTCTTTGAAAGTCAGACTCATCGATGACTTCTCAGCCTCTTGTGTCAATGATACTGTTCAGGTGGAAACAGCGTCAAAACTTCACACCTTGGATGTTGTAGCAGCCTTGTGCATGGAGCTGTAAAAAGTAGGTGGTGATTCGCAGTGGTTGGGAAAAACAATCGACCTTTCATCAGCCTACAGGCAGCTTGGAGTGTCTCCTGCCGCCAAATGGGTTTCTTACATTGCTGTGTATGACCCTACCAAAGATCTTTGCCATGAGAGCGTTGCCATTTGGGGCTAGCAA